TTATCCTGGATTGCATATTCCTCAGTTGTGTAGTTTCATTTCATGCTGAAGTAGGTGAAATATAAGCGTAATATATTCTTGAAATTGTGGATATAGTGAAATCATACCAAACATTAGTCACTCAAGTGAGGACCAAGAAGGAAATGACAGGTTGTATGTCTGAGTTTGAAATGCAGAAAATCACCTCAGGAGAGAATGAAAGCTTGTGGGCAGTTGTAGAAGTAGTTGAAAGAGATGACTAGGAACTGAGTGCAGTCAATATGTGCGTTTGAGGCCCTACATTCTATTCGGAAGGGTAGGAATGAATAATAATAATAATCCAGAAATTCACCTTATAAGATAAACATTTTAAAAGAGCGATTAGTGAACAGAGAATATTCTTTTCGATAACTTCATTAGGTCGTACAGTTTTATGATCGTAATAATGAGGGAATTCAAGTGTTGGTTTGTAGGGATTTGATTAATTACAGAATTTCATCGTGAGCTGACATTATTTACAGAACCATTGGAAAACCAGCTGGAGTACTGGACAGCTGTTTCGTCCTAGTTTGGGACTCTTCAGCAGTACGCACCCACCAGCAGGGTTCGAACCCAGGACCTTCTGGTTACAAGGCGAGCTAGCTCGTATACATTAAGCACTGGGACTCGATCCCATGGGCAGTCCATAAATTCTAACTTCTACTGATTCACGACATAGCGCGACCCGTAGCCAATGTCTTCGACGAGTATTTGTCCTCACACGCGACCTGCTGCACCCTACTGGTCACGACTTCTCACTAGAACCCCAGGTAACTACCTACCTGAATAGGGTAAGTCGCTAGTGAGCATCTCATTGATATTCAAGTGTTGGTTTGTAGGGATTTGATTGGTTACAGGATTTCATCAGGAGCTGACATTAATTAGAGGATTATTTTTAGTAACAGCATCAATGTTTTAAATTATATTGAATCAACGGTATAGACAGATTACATTTCAAAAGTAGTATCGGTAAGAAAGAGATAATATGCATTAATACAACACTAGACTGAGTACCAGATAAATGAAGGGAAGTAGTAGGTTTTCCAACAGGCCAGGGTAGCGTTACTGGGTTGATCTGTTACTTTCGCATGTAGATCTTCGTTTGTTTTGGGAGGACTTCAGTGGCTTCTGTTATCTGGGATATTAGACGTCTAGGGGAATATGGTAATTTATTCGGTTACTCGACAGATGATAGAGAAAGATTCTTCAATGCTGGTTTTTCAGCCTGCTTAGATGAGTTGATCTAATATGGAACTGTTGATAGTTTTAGCTACATCTTTATTTAGCCACAGCGGTAGGTGTTCCCGAGTACGAGAACTTCATTTCTTAAAGTGGCTGCATAGCGGCAGTTGAAATGACAGATACAGAGAGTAAGAGGTGGCTAGCCTGGTAAGTTTCAGAATCATGACTGATTGTGCAGAAGGTATAGGCCACAGCTTACTGGTATTAAAAGTTTTCTGAACTGATTTTCTCAATTTATCACCTATTATCTCTCTTGACACATCATTTTTAAATTGTAGTCGTATATACGGAAGCTTCTTATTAGGAGATACTGGAAAGGACAACTAGTATATCAAACTGATTTCATTTCAGAAAAGGCAGTTTGACAATTTTGTTGGTGATTTTAACATTTTGTCATGATCTTTGGAAGATTTCCTTAATATCTTATTGATGTATTCATACTTTATTTGTGACAAAAACAGATTCTACCTCTAAAATATATAAAAAAGAATTTTCGTTTAACTAATTCCTCTAAAGTAGCTTAAGCTCAGCTACATCCTTCTGTTGAAGAAACCCGATGAAATTATTTTTAAAGTAAAAATCTACCAATGCTATTATAACTGATTTATATATACATATGTATAAGCATATGCCTAGAACTAAAATGGAGACTATTCTTCACACATTCATATTTCAGGCTATAAATTAATTATTTCTTTGGAATCTTAGTCGAATATAAGACCTCAAAAAGTATATTTATATTGCACTTAACTCTCTGTCAGCACTTTTAACTATCTCTCAGCTTCTCGTAAGCTGTAATTCTTGCCATATCACCCGGAGATATCCAACCTGGCATTTCTTGTTCGTTTTTCACTTTACTGTTTGGTGTTTGATATCGCTTGGAGATATCCTCAACCTGAAGATTACAGTGCTCTTAAATCTCACCTGACATGACATGGCGTCGGTGACACAGCAGTTAAGACGCTCGCTGACCATGCACATAGTCCGGGGTTCGATTCCCGGCCACCGACGCACTCCCTTACCTCGCTAAACCAGAAATAATCCTGGTAAAGGCGAAAGGTTGGGCATGAGGCTAGCAACCCCACCCTATAAAATTAAACACTACTACAGAAACTTCAAGCCACTAGCTTGAAGCTCTATGTTCCATTGGGAACGTGAAGGAAATAAAAAAACATGATCTGAATTGGAACTACATATCTGCTATCTCGCAATGAAACCCCATGTTATTTACGCATCATTGAGTTAGGTGAAATACAATTTAGTGGGTAGAAAGATGACAACGACGGAGAGTAATATATAAAAAAGGAATATATTTTAAAATATAATATATTCTGTTTTTTAAGTTTACGCCAGTATTTCGAATATCTGTTAATTCTAATTCATAGACAAAAAGGTTAGTTGAATTTTCTTCATCAGAGTAGGATCAGGTACTACAATTAACAATGGGAATTAAAAGAAAGAAAATCATTGTTTTATCAACACGTTTTATAATAAATATCATAGTAGACGTAAAGCAACGTACCGACTTGTCAGTTCAGTGGAAGTCAGTGTGAACTAACTGTAGACTGTTAAAAATGTTTAAAATTTACATACTGCCACCACTCATCCTTCTTTGCATCCTAAGTGGGAAGTAGAGAGAGCTTCATCTGCACTCGACGTTTTCTACTAACTGGCTGTATGGCTGTATGAAAAAAACCTTCTAATTCCTCCTCATATGACCTTTTCTATATATATATATATATATATATCACTATCGAATAACTAACTTGTCACTTCTCATTCAGGTTCCACTTGAAGGCCTATCTGGCTTGCTATATCACTGGAATATCTAGATATGATACAGAAGATCTGTAGCTCAGGTGGATGGTTTTGATGTGGTTGTGTTCTCTGAGCTGGATAGTTAATTTGCAAAGCTTTCATCGCCCTACTAGGCAACATCTTCAAATTGAAGTATGCGCTAAAGATGTCTCCTAGTAGGGCGATGAAAGCTTTGCAAATTAACTATCCAGCTCAGAGAACACAACCACATCAAAATCACTGGAATTTCTTTTTATTATAAGCCCAGTTCATTTCTATTTGCTTGTGCTTAGACCAATAGGTGGTCATCTTCAGCAGACTGTTGGAAATACTATCGTTAACATGCGTACCACTTCCTTCAACTATCTGGAAACACTGAGTTGATGTTAGTATAATGACTTTGTAATCTTGTTCCCTTTGAAAAGTGCTTTGAATATCTCACGAAGTTAAATCAAAGCAAAATAAGAAATTGCTTTTCACACTAATTGATCATATAAGTCGATAAATACATCTAAACTCTTGAAAAAAACAGTGGAAATTTCTTTCTCACACTTGGATTTATAAAAGTAACACTCAACGTCTACTGAAGGATTGATTGATATCACTTTCTACTTAGGAAGTGTTTAAATGTTTCGTAAAACTTTAATTAGACACTAGATAGCTATGCATCTAGTCTTTTGTTTGATGCACACTGAATTTTTTATCGATCAATTTTGTAAGTTGGCCACCATGCTTAGTGACTTGCCATCACGATGCTCTCTGAACTTTTTAAGACAATCGGTAGGAAGCCTTGAACCAAACAAGAGACTAAACGTAAGATACTAGTTACTTATTGCCTAGTATCCAATCAAAATAACCAATACAGTCCTAGAGTAGGTCACTGATGAGCATGAACAGCTCAGCGGTAAAGTTTTTAACTGTAGCCCTGGGTGAACTAGGCTCGAATCTTAGGGGGGATATGAGCTGAGTTCTATCAAGATTGCAGATAAGCCTCGATGATGACTCGATAGGGAATGCCAACAAGCATGACACCTAGATCTAAGGCATTCTGCCGATTACCTTCAACCATGTAATGAAAACAGTATCTTTACACTAATTTTCACCCTAAAAGATTCCATGAATTTATTTTAAATTTATGTTTTTGAGTTGATCCACAGAGTGACATCAATTAGAGATACCATTGGAAACTAGGGAATACTGGACAGCTGTTTCATCCTAGTTTGAGAACCATCGGCGGTACGCACCCATTGGAGTTCGAACCCAGGACCTTCCAGTTAATTAATCTGATGCTCGCTAGTGACTTGCTACAGGATGGAGTTTCCTGAAGTTCTAGTGAGAAGTCGTGACCAGTGAGGTCCATGCAGATGTCACGTGTGAGGATGGATTTCCCACCTACGACATTGGTTGGGGTCGAGCTTAATCACGAATCGGAAGAGGTTAGAATTCATGAGACTTTGAATCGGGTCCCAGTGGCTGAATGGTATACGAGCTTTCCTTGTAACAGAAAGGTCCTGGGTTCGAACTCCAGTGGGTGCGTACCGCCGATGGTTCTCAAACTAGGATGAAACAGCTCTCCAGTATTCCCTAGTTTCCAATGGTATCTCTAACTGTTATCAACCGTAATCAACTGGTAAAGTCAAAGCTGACCTTTACAACCATACTATAGGAAATCTATATTTGTGACAAAAAGTCAAATTATAAAACATTGGTAGCAAATATGAGAAAATTTAAAACAGTAATAATTATAATAAAGTTTATTTTTCCCCTACAATATTATTTTTATATTAATTTTACAGACGATATTCTTCAAATGGGTGATGGCGTGCATACAAGCATCAGTAACGATAATAATGACCAAAAAACTTAGCACCTAGAATACAGAAATCAGACTGAATGAATTCAATACGATAGATGCGGAGGTGAGCACTAGTTATCCGAATGAAATGGGAAAGTTTGAAAATGCCAATCAAACAACACAGAACACAGAAATAAGTCAGGAAATGTTGAATGAGACTCAGAGAATAACAAATCAAAACTTAGGAAATAATAAAAGTGTTAGAAAAAATACTGATGAAGAATTGAACCGTGTTGAAATCGAAAATGTGACCACAGGAAAACATAGATTCATAGATTCAAAAGAAATAATAGTAAAGCCTATACCAGAATACCTTCAAGATCGAAAAAATCAGCCTGTAAAGGAAAAGCGAAGAAAAGGAAAAAAACAGCGCAATAAGCGAAAGAAGACGAAGAGAAACAAGACGCTGAGTCAATCAGAAGACGGTAAAACGACCCGAAAATTGCAAAATATTGACTATTCTACAGAAAATGCAATTACTGATATAATAACGTTAGTTAAACAAAAATATGAAAACCAAATAAGTACTGAAAGTACCAAAGATGATGGGGAGAAATTCTCAGAAAAATTTGAGATGGAAACCAAAGAACAACAGAAAATAACGTCTGACAAGGAAGGTGGAGTAACAGACGGCAATCAGTACTGGTCAGTAGATCATGGAGAAAATGTAACTGCTCATCATAAAGAGATAGAGACAGACCAATCCAACGAGGACGAATTGAATGAAACAACAAAATTAAGGAGTGAAAAACAAAGCGAAAACCAAAAAGAAATGCTGAATGGGAAAGTTACTGAAGACATTGAAACAAACAACCGACGAATAGAACAGAAGTCGAAGAAATCGAAAATATTGGTGACACAACAATGAGTATGGATGATAAAAACGCTGAAAAGAATTTAATGAATGCAATAACAGATGGTCAGGACAATAGGCAGACACAAAGTCAGACAAATATACCAGCATATACAGAGCAAGAAACAAAACAAGTGTGCTATCACTGGAATTGGAGGTGGACAAAAATGACAAACCAAAAAACAACAGTAAAGAAACCAACAGAAAACACAGGAATGCTGGAGAGTGCCAAAAAAGGTAGAAACAGATAAGGAAGAAAAAAGACTAAATCAGAAGAAAAGTTGTTACAAAACATTCGACAGAGACGTCACAATATGCGAGAAAATATACGATAATTATAAATTGGAGAGAAAAATACAAAGACGACAGCAAAAGACACACAGCTGGTAGAGAAAGACGGAAAGGAAAACATGACAGAGAAGACAATCACGAAAAAAAAAAGAATTCAACAGAAAGAAACACTCAAAATAAGGAAAGTCAACAGGAAAAACAAACAGAAACAAACAAAAAATATGAGGAGAAGAAGGATGATGAGAAGACGCGGAAGGAGGGAGAAGAGGTTGATGAGACACAGGAGACGCGGAATGAGACTCATACAGAAGAAGAGGCGGTGACAATTCATCAGTCGGAATTAGAAGGCGATGACCGGTCAACTTCGCCTTTTGAATCAACGGGTCACCGAGACACGCGACACAACCAGACAGTAGAACTGAAAGACACGTCGCCAGAAATCGATCCTCTTGAACCATTCACCATACCACCTTTGACTGTGAATGTTCTGAGGCCAGAATCTGTTCCGGATGAAAATCAACCTGTTGACACTGGTGACCGCACAGATGAACCCACAGATCAATCTGTGAATGAAGAAGACAAGGCGGAAGCTGAAGCAAGCGTGTCACAACCTCCTGACCACCACCAGAGAACTCCTGATGGAGAGAACACAGATGAGAATGTGGAGGGAGTGACTGAGCACCAGATTGTGGATATACTCACGGAGTTGACAGACAGCGAGTTGTCGGAGGGAGGTGAGAGTGACACACAAGTTGTGCATACAGTCAATATTATCGGTGATGGTGATGATGGCAGTGTCAGTGAGACAGAGAAGGCGGTGGCAATAGATAAAGAGTATGTGGAGGAGAAGGATGATGAGAAGACGCGGAAGGAGGGAGAAGAGGTTGATGAGACACAGGAGACGCGGAATGAGACTCATACAGAAGAAGAGGCGGTGACAATTCATCAGTCGGAATTAGAAGGCGATGACCGGTCAACTTCGCCTTTTGAATCAACGGGTCACCGAGACACGCGACACAACCAGACAGTAGAACTGAAAGACACGTCGCCAGAAATCGATCCTCTTGAACCATTCACCATACCACGTTTGACTGTGAATGTTCTGAGGCCAGAATCTGTTCCGATGAAAATCAACCTGTTGACACTGGTGACCGCACAGATGAACCCACAGATCAATCTGTGAATGAAGAAGACAAGGCGGAAGCTGAAGCAAGCGTGTCACAACCTCCTGACCACCACCAGAGAACTCCTGATGGAGGGAACACAGATGAGAATGTGGAGGGAGTGACTGAGCACCAGATTGTGGATACACTCACGGAGTTGACAGACAGCGAGTTGTCGGAGGGAGGTGAGAGTGACACACAAGTTGTGCATACAGTCAATATTATCGGTGATGGTGATGATGGCAGTGTCAGTGAGACAGAGAAGGCGGTGGCAATAGATAAAGAGTATGTGGAGGAGAAGGATGATGAGAAGACGCGGAAGGAGGGAGAAGAGGTTGATGAGACACAGGAGACGCGGAATGAGACTCATACAGAAGAAGAGGCGGTGACAATTCATCAGTCGGAATTAGAAGGCGATGACCGGTCAACTTCGCCTTTTGAATCAACGGGTCACCGAGACACGCGACACAACCAGACAGTAGAACTGAAAGACACGTCGCCAGAAATCGATCCTCTTGAACCATTCACCATACCACGTTTGACTGTGAATGTTCTGAGGCCAGAATCTGTTCCGGATGAAAATCAACCTGTTGACACTGGTGACCGCACAGATGAACCCACAGATCAATCTGTGAATGAAGAAGACAAGGCGGAAGCTGAAGCAAGCGTGTCACAACCTCCTGACCACCACCAGAGAACTCCTGATGGAGGAACACAGATGAGAATGTGGAGGGAGTGACTGAGCACCAGATTGTGGATACACTCACGGAGTTGACAGACAGCGAGTTGTCGGAGGGAGGTGAGAGTGACACACAAGTTGTGCATACAGTCAATATTATCGGTGATGGTGATGATGGCAGTGTCAGTGAGACAGAGAAGGCGGTGGCAATAGATAAAGAGTATGTGGAGGAGAAGGATGATGAGAAGACGCGGAAGGAGGGAGAAGAGGTTGATGAGACACAGGAGACGCGGAATGAGACTCATACAGAAGAAGAGGCGGTGACAATTCATCAGTCGGAATTAGAAGGCGATGACCGGTCAACTTCGCCTTTTGAATCAACGGGTCACCGAGACACGCGACACAACCAGACAGTAGAACTGAAAGACACGTCGCCAGAAATCGATCCTCTTGAACCATTCACCATACCACGTTTGACTGTGAATGTTCTGAGGCCAGAATCTGTTCCGGATGAAAATCAACCTGTTGACACTGGTGACCGCACAGATGAACCCACAGATCAATCTGTGAATGAAGAAGACAAGGCGGAAGCTGAAGCAAGCGTGTCACAACCTCCTGACCACCACCAGAGAACTCCTGATGGAGAGAACACAGATGAGAATGTGGAGGGAGTGACTGAGCACCAGATTGTGGATACACTCACGGAGTTGACAGACAGCGAGTTGTCGGAGGGAGGTGAGAGTGACACACAAGTTGTGCATACAGTCAATATTATCGGTGATGGTGATGATGGCAGTGTCAGTGAGACAGAGAAGGCGGTGGCAATAGATAAAGAGTATGTGGAGGAGAAGGATGATGAGAAGACGCGGAAGGAGGGAGAAGAGGTTGATGAGACACAGGAGACGCGGAATGAGACTCATACAGAAGAAGAGGCGGTGACAATTCATCAGTCGGAATTAGAAGGCGATGACCGGTCAACTTCGCCTTTTGAATCAACGGGTCACCGAGACACGCGACACAACCAGACAGTAGAACTGAAAGACACGTCGCCAGAAATCGATTCTCTTGAACCATTCACCATACCACGTTTGACTGTGAATGTTCTGAGGCCAGAATCTGTTCCGGATGAAAATCAACCTGTTGACACTGGTGACCGCACAGATGAACCCACAGATCAATCTGTGAATGAAGAAGACAAGGCGGAAGCTGAAGCAAGCGTGTCACAACCTCCTGACCACCACCAGAGAACTCCTGATGGAGAGAACACAGATGAGAATGTGGAGGGAGTGACTGAGCACCAGATTGTGGATACACTCACGGAGTTGACAGACAGCGAGTTGTCGGAGGGAGGTGAGAGTGACACACAAGTTGTGCATACAGTCAATATTATCGGTGATGGTGATGATGGCAGTGTCAGTGAGACAGAGAAGGCGGTGGCAATAGATAAAGAGTATGTGGAGGAGAAGGATGATGAGAAGACGCGGAAGGAGGGAGAAGAGGTTGATGAGACACAGGAGACGCGGAATGAGACTCATACAGAAGAAGAGGCGGTGACAATTCATCAGTCGGAATTAGAAGGCGATGACCGGTCAACTTCGCCTTTTGAATCAACGGGTCACCGAGACACGCGACACAACCAGACAGTAGAACTGAAAGACACGTCGCCAGAAATCGATTCTCTTGAACCATTCACCATACCACGTTTGACTGTGAATGTTCTGAGGCCAGAATCTGTTCCGGATGAAAATCAACCTGTTGACACTGGTGACCGCACAGATGAACCCACAGATCAATCTGTGAATGAAGAAGACAAGGCGGAAGCTGAAGCAAGCGTGTCACAACCTCCTGACCACCACCAGAGAACTCCTGATGGAGGAACACAGATGAGAATGTGGAGGGAGTGACTGAGCACCAGATTGTGGATACACTCACGGAGTTGACAGACAGCGAGTTGTCGGAGGGAGGTGAGAGTGACACACAAGTTGTGCATACAGTCAATATTATCGGTGATGGTGATGATGGCAGTGTCAGTGAGACAGAGAAGGCGGTGGCAATAGATAAAGAGTATGTGGAGGAGAAGGATGATGAGAAGACGCGGAAGGAGGGAGAAGAGGTTGATGAGACACAGGAGACGCGGAATGAGACTCATACAGAAGAAGAGGCGGTGACAATTCATCAGTCGGAATTAGAAGGCGATGACCGGTCAACTTCGCCTTTTGAATCAACGGGTCACCGAGACACGCGACACAACCAGACAGTAGAACTGAAAGACACGTCGCCAGAAATCGATCCTCTTGAACCATTCACCATACCACGTTTGACTGTGAATGTTCTGAGGCCAGAATCTGTTCCGGATGAAAATCAACCTGTTGACACTGGTGACCGCACAGATGAACCCACAGATCAATCTGTGAATGAAGAAGACAAGGCGGAAGCTGAAGCAAGCGTGTCACAACCTCCTGACCACCACCAGAGAACTCCTGATGGAGAGAACACAGATGAGAATGTGGAGGGAGTGACTGAGCACCAGATTGTGGATACACTCACGGAGTTGACAGACAGCGAGTTGTCGGAGGGAGGTGAGAGTGACACACAAGTTGTGCATACAGTCAATATTATCGGTGATGGTGATGATGGCAGTGTCAGTGAGACAGAGAAGGCGGTGGCAATAGATAAAGAGTATGTGGAGGAGAAGGATGATGAGAAGACGCGGAAGGAGGGAGAAGAGGTTGATGAGACACAGGAGACGCGGAATGAGACGCATACAGAAGAAGAGGCGGTGACAATTCATCAGTCGGAATTAGAAGGCGATGACCGGTCAACTTCGCCTTTTGAATCAATGGGTCACCGAGACACGCGACACAACCAGACAGTAGAACTGAAAGACACGTCGCCAGAAATCGATTCTCTTGAACCATTCACCATACCACCTTTGACTGTGAATGTTCTGAGGCCAGAATCTGTTCCAGATGAAAATCAACCTGTTGACACTGGTGACCGCACAGATGAACCCACAGATCAATCTGTGAATGAAGAAGACAAGGCGGAAGCTGAAGCAAGCGTGTCACAACCTCCTGACCACCACCAGAGAACTCCTGATGGAGAGAACACAGATGAGAATGTGGAGGGAGTGACTGAGCACCAGATTGTGGATATACTCACGGAGTTGACAGACAGCGAGTTGTCGGAGGGAGGTGAGAGTGACACACAAGTTGTGCATACAGTCAATATTATCGGTGATGGTGATGATGGCAGTGTCAGTGAGACAGAGAAGGCGGTGGCAGAGAGATGGTGGATGAGGAAATTACGTTTTCAACTTCGATTCCTTCTGATTTATATGTTTTGAATTCGGGTGTGAATGTTTCGCTTGTTAATCACTGTTTCATGCCTAGTTATTCGTTAGGTTACTATTTCGATTTTCATTTCAAATCTCCTTACCATTCTTTTTCAAATACGTATAATAGTTTCTCAAAAGTCTATTCCGCTTTCTCACAATTAATGTTCACTCGCATTCATAATAAATTTTGTATTTTTGTTAGTTTACCAGCAAGTAATACTGGTTTATGCAACGACTGTTTTAAACTTCCTGTTTCATTAACTTCGAAAACTGTATTTTCTTCTCTGCATTCAATGATATCCGCCTGTAATTTGAATTATTCTGTCTTTATTTCGATGTCATCTTTGGATTTCTTAGATATTTCTTATTCGACTTTGGGTTCTCAACGTCGTTTCACTTCGAAATCTAGAAAATCTCGGCATATATTCCATAACGCTTTCAAATAATTGATGTTCATTCACGGTGTTTATGAACTCTTAGTTGAATTCGACTTTTTCTATATTTTATCCTTAGTCAATTGTGATTACTGTTTTTCATTTTTTTTCACTTTTAAGCCATATGACAATTTGTTTGGTTGAAAATACATATTATTTACTTCTTTCTGTGAAATTTCTTAACTTGATTTCAAGTATACATTGTGTTGAACCCATTTGGAAATATCATACATAGTGTTAAGCCATTCGAAGATAGAAGGAATATACTCTAGGTTTAGATTTGAATAGCTTAGCATGTCTTACGTCATCAGCTATTGAAATGCTCTTATCAATACGACAAGTCTGAAAGAATTGTTTGTATACTGAACCAAAAAGAAGAAGATAGGGCTGTCACATGTGTGTGTTAAGCAACTTAATGGAGAGATTATTTTTATTCTATTTGGTATGCAGATACAGACAGCTGGATGTCACTCATTTAAATGACATGCTGGTCCGTGCCGCTTAGTAATAAAGCTCTACTGCATCAGTCGTGAAATGTTCTCCAGTCATGCTCATGTTCCATGTTTGATTCCCAGCTGAAGCTCTCCGAAGCATCGGTTGGAGAAGTTTGGTTGTGGGGCCTACAACCTCATCTAGTTATTAAAAGCAGCCTTATTTGCTCACAATGGGATATGTGTTCTCTCCACCAGGAGTTCTTCAATGGTGGCCGGGAGGTTGTGACACGCTTGCTTCAGCTTCCGCCTTGTCTTCTTTATTCACAGGTTGATCTGTGGGTTCATCTGTGCGGTCACTGATGTCGATTGATAAATATATATCCCTGACTGCGATGGAGTATGAATTTCATACAGAATTTTAATTCCAACGTCGCATGCTACCTGCAGACATTTCTTGCTAGCGCGTCCGTCATAATAACAAAGGGTAGGTTCATGGTTTCTTACCGAATGTTAGCAACCATCTTACATCAGGCTAAATCTACAGGAATGAAGTTACAAAATCATATTATTAGTGAACTCCGTTATATAGAATTCTAAAAGTGCAACACTTATATTATAATTTTAAGGGTGTCAACTTAGGTGTACTTAGTAATCGTGAGTTACCAGTATTCGGAACAGTATCTTTCATGCCATATTGCCTGCCTGTAGTCATCACTTTTCACAGACTTTCAGGCAATTCCTAAGTATATGAGATGCATGCTGTCTAATGAAAAAGCAGCTATCATGTCTATATGCCTCGAAAGAAGATTTAACCTTATGGTGACCTGACTGCGTTTGCCTTTAGTAACCTGCCTTTGTTCTCACAGAGGTACACGAATTTGGAAAATCCATGCAGTTATTTACACGACAGCATATAGCCTCACGCTTGTTGTATCAGTGGGTTGAATAGTGACTGGATATTGGGTTAATTAATGCCCTAGCTGTTGTGTATCACATATAACACCCTTGAGTAGTATTTCCATGTGGCGGCTTTTGGGTAATACAAAACCGTTCTCACATAAAAATTCTAATTCTACAATGGTATCTCTTAAAATACTGTGAACATTAATAGGTTTACATGAACCATGGTATATACCTACCAAAAATACCTCATCATATCCAGACAGCAGCAGTTATGCTTGAATAGTCCACATCTGTAAGTCCTAATTGTTGAAAAGTTGGGTACCATAAATGTTCAGTTGCAGATTCACTTCCACTGGGGCTTCCTCTTTGACTATTTGTGGGCGGTATTCAGTCTGACGATGAGAGTCAATATTAACACATGTCGTAAGACCAATTTTTCTCCTTTAAATAACTTCTTCAGTTCTTATCAATGTCCGGGGTCAGTTGGTAGGTCAGGCATCATTTGCCTCAATTCTTAAAACATAATACCCTTATTTGCCATACTAAGATTGCATCTGTAGATGATGTTGTGAACTGCACCCAGTGCTACATGCTCGCTCCTGTTAGGAGAACTGTTTGGTGTAGACGAGGGGTCGCACAACACATGTTCTTCTACTGACGGTGGAATGATGTACTTTTATAGTTCACATCAACTGGAAGGACAAAATTTTGGAGAATAGACATGTTTAATGAAGTCGCCTCTTGCGCTGATTCAGCTAGACGGGAATTTATGGGGAATTCTGAGTACATTGAAATGATATTATAAACTTACCTGCTAACTGCTTCTTCGGTTACAGATTGTACTTTTTAAGCGTCGACAGTATATTGTCATCTGAGGTAAAATCTAACTGTCGGTGCCTCATAATACATGATAGATAAATGTACCTACATAGTCTCAAAATCTTTGGATGAAAGGATCTGCTGTCAGTTGATGGTTGGTTGTCATTTATCTCGTTTAGGGAATTAGTATGATGTGATGAAGAACAGTTAAAACTTATGTTAGCTGAAAACACAACGGGTTTATCTGTGTCAACAAACAGATCCCTGGAGTCTATACAACAAATAAGCCTGGTCTAAAGCAATTTGTTTCCTTTATGCATTTCGAATAAAGCAAAAACAACATTGGTTTGTACAGAATAATATGTTACCATCATTTATTTCGTTGGCTTCTCATCAGCTGCTGCTTACAGCCTAAATAAATTATGAGTTTTAACGTACTTGCAAATTTTACATGTTGTCAGTTGACAGAAAGTTCCACAATTAGTGAACAGTGCTCAGGAAATTGCGCTTACATAGTTTTTGTACAGGCAGTTCAAGTCAACATAAATGTATGCATATAATGGCAAAGGGGTTACGTAATAAAGACGAGAGATGAGTAAGATGCAGAGTGACTAATAAATTAGGTAACAATGTCCTGAATTCAACTCACGTGTCATGGAAACAAGACAAAAGCAAAATTACAGATTATAAAAAGGAAGGTAGAGTGAGGTTAAAGACGAAGATTACGTAATCAGATGAGAGAATAGAGACATCCAGTTACCAGGGCGAGGAAAGGCTAATAACTGCTTCTTTCTGAACACATAAATCTGGTTTGAAGCGTTTGATAGAAATTGCTTCGGCAAACTTGATGTGTTTCGATAACACAGTAAGAAGACGTAGTTTATCTGAAGCGTGTGATGTATTTGCACAACGCATTTTGGACATTCTGATCGAATACGTACTTGTCATACACAGTTTTGTAGAAGGTTAGAAGACATGAATAATTAATAAACACGTCAGATTGTGTACAGATCAAGGTCACAAGTAATGGGTAGGGAGACGCAAAGGTGTGGGTAAGAAAGAGAAAAAAACAAAGCAAAGAAGAGGTTGAAAATATTATCAAGTAAATTGGTCCTTGGTTCTAAATCGGATTACCAAGGCAGGTTTAAAGTAATAACAAATAACTTTTGGACACATAAGACAGGTTTAAGTCTTTCTATGGCGAAAGCTTCAACGAATTTAAGTATGTGGCCCAACCTTGTTTTATATATGGGCTTAAAAGCACTGTTGAAATCAACCTTATGACCCGTCTCAATGATTTGCTTCGCTATAGACGATGTTGGACATCTATTTCCGGGGTCACTTGTGTCTGGTGATTTTATTTGTTGTTGCAGCCACTTTGGAATGTGTTTTGTAGCCCTAACCTGCAGAGATCAACTTTCTTCTTTTGTTCACATTTATATCGGTGATAATAGGTTGACAAGGAGAAGCGGTTTTTAAAAATGAGCGTAAAAAAGGAGGTTAAGAGTGATGGCAAATATCAGAGCATACAAAATTTGGATATGCCATATCTTTGCAGTGGTTGTATTTGTTAGTATTTCGAAATTATTCTACTACACAGTGGATTCAAAAATTGCTTAAATTTTATATAATAGTAGTAACAATATTAGTTTGTTTTATTATTATTCCCCTGCTTTCAGAGTGGAACATTGAGCTTCAGAGACACATCTCCACATTGTTATATCTTCTGCCATCCTCTTCAGCTTGGACTACATTTTCCCACAATCTCTCATCTCCTTCTCACACTATCTCCTCCATGTCACCCTCGCATTGACGACCCACTCGTCGCTTCCCATCTGGATTCCACTCGAGGGCGTGGCACGCGATATCATTTGATGGTCTCCTCAATTTATGTTCGATCCATCTCCATTTTGAAGGATCGGCTTTTGGTTAGTTTGTTCCCATAGTTTCTTGTTGCTTATTCTTTCTGACCATTTGATGTTCAATGTGGAGCTAGCAAAGGCAGCTGTTGATGAAAGTCTTCGGTAGCCTGTTGGAAATCCTTTCAGCGACACGAAGTGCAAGTTTCTGACGCCTATAGAAGACCTGACCGACTTAACATTGGTGTTGAAAATCGGAATCGTGTTCCTTATGATGAGTGCAGAAGATTACCAAGCTGGCTAGACATTGTATACAGTTAAGCAAGTGAATTGTATTTCTTGCCTAATTATGAGAGAGGATATTTTCATTATCATTAACCAGAAAAATAATAAGATAAAAGTATCAAAAAGTAATACTAATCGGGTGGAAAATTGGGTTATTCACTGAATGCTTCTCCATAGAATCAAGAAGATGGATAGGGCAACAATGGGAAGTAGACGTACGCAGCGTAAATAGTTGTGAGAATGTAGTGATATGATTGATACTTATCTTTTGCTCGAAATGTCATTCACTTGTTACTTCAATATCATTAGGTTTTACATCAGATAAACGTGTGGTGAGAGCTACCAGCTAGCCAGTTTCAGTAGACAGCAATTTACGTCAATGTCTACATCTCAAATCTTGGTCATGAGAAAAAAAACAATAGCAAAGCCTAATCTTGAGGGACTCGACAACTAATCGCAGTAGATTTTGCGTAGGCGGAAACGATTAGCAGATATATCAACGAACTGTCTAAGAAACGACAACAAAGAGATGGCCGTATAATTTTCAGCAGGAAAACAACTAATCAGAATACGTTACCTCCTTGCTAACAATCACGAATAATAATGTACATGAAAATCTATAAATATCTGTTGATTTTCTTAATAAACGATCTGTAGCTTGGGCGTTGTCTTCTGCCGTTATAAACGTATCTAATATGGCATCACGTTCTGT